GAAATCCAGATGGATGAGGCAATCCAGTCAGTGCAAAATTGCTGCTTTTTTTTTTTTTTTTTTTTTTTTTTTTTAAAGACTTCATCACTAACCTAGCTTGAGGTTTTTTGTTTTTATTCTTGAATCACCATACTCCACTCATTCAGGTCAATGTGGCTATATTGTAGGTACCACTCCAACCCAATAAATAAATAAATAAAACTTTGGACAATTACTTCATCTGGGCTCGGTATCCAGAAGCTCTTCCACAGTATTTGCGTTGCAGTCAGGAAGCTGCACAAAGAGAGAGCTGCAAGAGATTTTGGCTATTTCCAGATTAGAAATTGAAAGGCATGACCAACAAATGAAATGTAGCAAGGACACCATCTACAAGACACACCACATGCAACCTGGGGAGCTGGTGGCCTGAGAAAGTGACCTCCATGGCTTCTTCCTTTAGTACGTGTGTAATTTAAGATCCTGCCTTGTAATCCTTCCATTTCCGACTGGGAAGCCACCCCTCCCTCCCACCTCCAATTGTTATCCAACAGTTTCTTTCTTTGTGCAGCAGAGCAAGTCAGCGATCACAAAATGTGCAAAACATACAATTCACACAAGCCCTTGCAACATGAAGACAATTGCAGGCATTGTTTCAGCATGCAAGCACTGAACAATAAATAACTATATCTACAACAAGTAACATAACAGGAATGGGACAGTTTGAATTACTTATAAATACAGGGAGGAAAGGGAACAAGGAGCATTTGGAGGATGTCATTCGTTCCCCACTGTTGCAAAAACGTTTCACCACTGGACTGTTCCATATCAAGCGGAAGGTCACTCACTGCACATAGGACAATGCAACGTGGGACCTAAGAGATGCTGCAGGCACTGCCCACAGACAAGCACGCTCCGGTTAGCAGAGTTCATCAGCAATACTGCTGCATCTTCATCCACAGTGGCATCTCGCTGTTTCAGACCTGGCCTGCTTTCCCCTGCAGCTGGTGCTGGCACTTCAAACCACCACAAAGAGAGGCGACAACCATTTCAAATTTCACATACAAACAGTGGAGTCCATGGAAATCGAGTGCTGTGTGCTGCACAGCTCAGAGAAGTCTCTTCTTTTTCTCCTTTGAAGGACTGATTAATTTTGGCATTAATCCACAATTACTAGCACAAGGACCAGATCATAGGTTCATCCATTCATATTTAAACCACGTGCTGAAGCACTGAAGACAGGTTTTTCTCCTCCCATTCCTTCATGTCTAGGTTAGATAATTTACAAGGTGCAGATGATTTTCTTCAAATGCAAGAGACGCTGAACAATTTTTCTTCATTAAAACTGTTTCTCCAGATCTGAGGTTCCAATGCTCTTCTCCAAATAAAGGAGTAAAAAAAAAGCATGGGAAGGGGGGGGTGGGGGGGAGAAGAGAGAAAAGACTTGAAGGGGTTTGCTGAGACAATGTACCATAAGGTTTTTGTTAGACGTCAAAGAAAATCTAAAAGCTATGCTCAGGATACAATCCAGTTGATGGGCTTCCCCACCCTCCCACCACCTCAGTGGGCCTGTGCAACAGCCAACTACTGATAAATATGCCAGCCAAGAACATGGTTATTTAGGGTCAGATTTTGCCTTTATTATTCTACTAGCCTTACTCTGTAAACCATCTTCCTGACCGCAGAATGACTGTTTAATTTTTTGGCTATAAATTCAGTCATTTGAAACCAAAATCAAACTGGCCCAGTACGGTTCAACATGATGGGCTCTGCATCCTGCATACTTCAACATTTCTATGTTCCCCCAAAATCTTAAAGCTTTGTGGATTTTTTTTAAGCCAGCATAACTTTGTGCGACTTCTCTTCCACAAAACCCCATATGAACACTTAGTGCCAAGAGTTTTTTTCTATCCCTGGGCCAAGGCAAAACTAAAGCAAAAGGGGAGGTGAAGGTGTCTCATCCCAATGCCTCCGTTCACCATGAAGAATTCTGAATTGAATTTATTCACAATATAGAAAGGGACATATAATCCCCTTACTTAAAACATATCTGCTATTCATTAGAGCAGAAGTCTGCCTCATTTCTTTTCACACAGCAATGCACCATGCATCAATAATTCCATCCTAGAGTCCTTCATAAAAATTGATTATTCAATGAGAAATTCAGCCTTTGGATGCTGAGATTGTGCTTTGCTTTTTCACTATGAAGCTGTATTAAAATGCCAGCTTCAAAACCATCATCAGCTCATCACAGTCATTTCTGACAGCACTGCTAGAATTTTAGGAGGCAAATCCTACATCATTACAATGCAAAGGAGCTCCAGTGAACTCACAGTTCATTTGAACATACCACATCTCTCTCAAGCTGTGATGTCTAAGAACAACAGGGAACACTCACAGGAAACACCACAGCCCACATAACAGCCCAGAGCATCAAGCCTCTTTGCAACTGCAGGCTTGAAACACGCTATCTTCATTATGTCTAAAAAAAGGTCTCTGCACTTAGTGTTGATTAGTCTTTTCTAGACATTCTTCAGCGTAGCATGCCATTCTTCCCACTGAAACACACTATCAACACTGAAGCCAAAACAATGTTCCCTGTCATGGGATGAACTTTAAAAAAAAATTATAACCAATTCTGAAACAGAGAGGAAAAAAAATCCCCAACCTACTCAAAAGTCCCAAGTTGGAGGAACGGGACAAAGCAGACTGAAGTCTTCCTAAAAGCTGTCAGACTGGGGCCACACAGAGCCATGAAAACAGAGGGTAATCAGAAGTAATTTCCTTTTTGTCCCTCCCACCCACTGACAAAGCAGCAGGAGTCAGTAGAAAAAAAAACCCTACTTGCTGGATGAGCACACAGCATTGGAGAGATTTCAGTCTATGGCTGCGTTCAGCCCGTTATCTTGTGTGTTAGTGAAGCTAAAATAATGGCTTTTAACAAGATACTGCAGAGTAAAGGAAAGCTTTTTGCACCGTTATATTCTGAGGACTCTTTTTCAAAATAAAACACTCCCTCTCATGTACTGTAAACTTCAGAACAATTAAGTCAGTCTCAGAAGAATAAGTCAATATTTTTCTTGGCACAAACCTGAGTCCAGGCATTCAGTACTGCTGCTCTGATAACACTGAGAACTGCTGAAAGTCAGTAGTAATAGAAATTAACTGAAGATGTCAAGACGTTCCCAGTTAGGGAGGAAGCCACCGCACAGAAATCAGGGCTTCCATCTGCTGGCTGTTGGGGGGTGCAATTACTACCAGCACCCAGGATCTGGTTAAGTGTCAAGCTTTCCCACCTGAGACAAGAGCAGCTCATGGCACAACACAGCACAATTTCACACTAGATTTCTACACTGACCTGCTGCTTTGCACAGGCCCAACCTCGTACTCTTTACTCAATCAAAGCTCCCAGTCGGCTGAAAGACAACTACAAGATGAATCCTCAGTGTACCACAGAGAAAGGAATTTCACGACTACCCTACATTTCTAGGTATATACTTCCATCTACCCTGCTTCAAAGACATTTGGGTTTCGTGTTTACTGCAAGAGTCAGGCAAATGCCTCTAGCTGCAAAAGATACCAGAAGAAGAATATGATCTGTCCCAAACAGAAGAACCTAGGGAAGTCTTTATACACAAGGTATTCTTCCTATTTTCTGGAGAACCTCCATCAGTCTGGACATCCTTTTAGATGCAAAGGCAGAGCTCATTTAATTACTGCAACTGTATTTGCCTTGTTCCTTCTAACCTGCCTGCCTTCATGGTTACACTATATACTGTTCAAATCCAAAAAAGAAACTACCACTCACAGGGCATGGATTATTTAGGATTAAGCATGCCACTATATTTGTTTGGTTGGCTGGTGGTAACTGTGATTCTGTACTGAAGTCTCAAGGGGGGAGCGGGGGAAAAGAGCACCACAACATGAACGGGAGTCTGCCAGATTTGTTGCAAAATACACACCCTAATAGTTCTGGAAAAGTCTGTGGCTTATTTTAAGTGATGTATCTCTAGAAAAGATAAAAATGAGGATAAATTAGTAATAGTTGAAGCAACAGTTAGTAGTTAGCAAGAAAAAACAGATTTGAAAAATAATGTGTAGGTACCCATATTTTTTAGCGAGTTTTTTCATGAACCTTTTCTCCCCTCCTCCTAAAAATCAGAAATTCACAACAACCAAAACAAGCAAGGCCAAATTCAGACTTGCTTGTGAGAAGATACAATGCTGAAGTTGCACCTGGTAAGAGCTTGGCCCATTATGTATAATTAAATTGTTTTGGAACAGTGTGTGCTATAGACTGGTAATTATTTCAGCCAGCAATACTAATTATATGTCTTCCCGACACTATATCTAGTCCAACATATATGACCATAACTATTTTGAAAAATCTGTATTTTAAAGTATATCAAAGGAGCAAATGCAACCTTAGCCCATGCAGGTGCAACCATCCTGTCTAGGTGAGATGGAAAATTAGGCCTGAAGTGCCTGTAAAACACCTTTCATATGACAGCAAGTTTCCTCAAAGGCTGTCTGCATGGAGAAAGCATGCTCTCTGCCTGGAAATTCAAGTGAATTCACTACCAGGCTTCAGATCAGAATTTACAGTATATTTTTTGGGCACTGTTACTGGATATATGGAGTGACCTGGCCTCTGTTGTCAGGAGAATGGCACCAAACCCTTGTTCGGCAGGTGTTTTAGTCTCTAAATGCAGAGCAGGATTCAATTTCCAAATTATCTGCACTTCCACACAAGTAAAGGACTGAGATGTTTTCAACATCTAAATCATGCAGGAAAAGGCCTCATAAAGAGAAGTGGCTGCAAGATATGCGGCAAACTACTTCCAGCATCTGGCTTTGTCACACACATGGTGCCTGGCTTACAACAGCCCGTGAATATATGTGCCTCAGTTACTCCAGCTGTAAAATTGGGTCGAATATACTCACCCTCCTCAGAGCTGCTGCTGAAAAGCTTTGTGAAAAGCATTATTACAGTGGAATTCAAAGGTACTATTTCTTACCTGATAATTTGTAATTGCAACATACACACAATTATGAGGGGAGGTGCTTCCATGTGCTGACAAATGCCGTGGGAATTAACGAATAGGGCACAGTTGTTATGCTGTTCCATACATCTAATGTGGGATCGTAGCAGTCCAACGTTTTGCACCTCTGAATGCCAAAGTAGCCTCCAACCACATACAATTTGTTTCCAGATGCCACTGCGTGGCAGCTCATTCGCTTAGCTGTCACATCTCCCACCTTAGTCCACTGGTATGTCTCACTGTTGAATTTATAAGCAGAGCACGCAGAGAATTCAGTATCTCCGCCCATAATAAAAATCTGGTTACCCAGAACAGCTGCAGCTGTGTAGCGCCAGGGCTGGGGGCAGGTGGCTGGTACTGTCCATCTGTTTTCACACTGATCGTAGCACTGAACTTTGGGCAGCTTGTCATGGCTAACGCTGGTACCTCCAAAAGCAAACAGCTTAAGCTTTGCGCTGACTACAGCTGCATTGCTTACTCCCTCTCGCAGTGGGGCAACCATGGTCCATTTGTTGGTCACGGGGTCATATTGTTCTACTTGCTTTAAGGATACTGAAGGGGAAGCTGGAAGGCAACCAGTTGCTGCAGTGTGTCCTCCTACTACATACAAACAGTGCTTAAGTTCAGCAGAGCCATGCCCAAACCTAGCTACCAGCATGGGAGCAGCCTTCGACCACTCCTCGTGAAGGGTGTCATACACCCACACGTCTTTGGAGACTCCGTTTTCTGACCCTCGTCCCCCGGTGATATACACTTTGCAGCCTATGGCACAAGCACTGAACTCTTTCCGTGGACTTGGTATGTCGGCCTTTGGAATGATCTCCTTTGCCTTTTGGTCCACCAGGTACAGCTTGTCACACATAAAGGTTTGGCCACCCAAAAGAAAAAGCGAATGGCCAGTTTTACGGGGTCTGGCACACAAACTAGTGACCACTCCATCATTCTGTAAGATCTTTAACTTGCATCTTATCGATTCTTCTACAATCTCTTTGCTCTTCCTTTGTTTGGTGATAAGTTCTTCCATGGCCACATTCTCCATAAGGTATATGGCTGGCAAGAGCGCCAGTCTCACCGTCTGCAATAGCTCGGGCAGATAACAGTGACGCTTACTCAGGTCATAGCTGACCCAGTTGATAGCTGATTCATATACCAGCCTTTCATCTTCAGTTTCTAATTCTTCACTGGAAAGGAGCTGCACTACCATGTCTTTTGGCAGCTGGAGGAAGTCTTCACTTTTACTGATACTCTGGAAGTTGCTCAGGCACATCCTCCAAGAGAGTTCGTACAGCTTGGTGCACTGGTGAGCATCTGACAGCAGCAGCATGCCGAGACAGTTAGTGGGATGAAGGTTCTTCTCCAGAAACTCTGCACAAGCATCCCGAATGTCCTGAAACTCCAGCATGTCGCCGGCCTCCAGCAGCGACTCTGCGTTCTCCTCATTGATGATAACCCTGGAGGAATATGCGTAGTCCAGAAGAAGCTCCAAGACTTCCGGGTGAATCGAATTATGAAAGTTGACTTCACTGTCCTGGCTCTCCTTCAGTCCTCCACTGAACATTGCTTCGAAATAGCGGCTACAAGCAGCTAGAACGGCTCTGTGGCAGGGGAACGACCTGTTCCCAGCGTGGAGAAGTACATCTGTAAAGAGACGCTGCTGACGCAGAAGGTTCAGGTGAGTAAGGACACTATCAGCATAGGATGACTTGTGGAACAAGTATATGTTTATGGAGCCAGTACTGGCCCTAGATTTGCGATTTTCATGCATGCTGACTGACATTTTCTTTCACACCTATAAACAAAGAAAAAAATTAGTAAGATTAATGAGACAGTTAAATTCATTATTATTTTTACATACCAAAAAGTGTATCTATTATTCACTATAAGATGGGGAAAAAAGCCTTAATTTATAGATGAGTGGACAGAGAATTGCATCTACCTTTGGCATGTGTTTGGTTTTTTGTAAGACGAGTTTCATAAATGACATATTCTAAATTTGTTGCCCAAGAGCAGGTTTATCTTGGGAAACCTGATCTCCAACTTTCACAGCAATACAGTAAGCAAGTAAGTCGGAGGAGAAAGAAAAGGAACCAGGACTGATTTTCTCACCCTTCCCCAACCTAGACCAGCTGATTCATTACATATGTACACATGCACATGCTTGAAACATTCTCCTGTACTGAATCATAGCAGGAAGAGCTACCAGACAGAATACCTAAGGAATGTCAAAAGCTGCACGGGGAACAAAAACCTACTAATCCCATTAGGAAGCTTCCCTTTGGTATAATGATTCCATATACAACCACAGAGAATGAAAAAAGGGAACTTTAAAATAAAAACCTAACAACAATCATAAATTTACACTTGCGAAATCTTTGAAAAAAATACAACGAGTGAGTTTTAGAGTTTACATCTTGAACTCTGCCAGCGGCCACCTGTTATAGTGATATAGCATATACACAGGCAGAGTCAGCAGAAAAATGTGTTTTGACTATCAACTGAAGTCACCGAGGCATCGCCTCTGAAGCTACCTCGAGAGTCAGGTACTCAGAGCACAAGCCATTGGTTCATTTTGAGGTTTGGAGGAGACATAAAACACAAGACATATCCTATTCTACCCTGCTCCTAACAAACACAATGCTGTTTGGTCCCTGTTTGGAGGTGAATGTTACTGTTATCTGCCATGATATGCAGGTCTATGTACAATTACAGCAGCAAGTTTCCAGATTTAATTAAGAGTCAAGCCAAAACAGTATGGTGTATAGGGAAAGGGTGGAATATTGGCAGCCATATAAAGCTAATGGCCAAAAAAACAACAGTGCAAGTAATAGGAGGTGAAGCATACAGAGCCCAGTGCAAGCTGTGGCTGTGACCACTACCGTAATAATCTCACTTCCCTCCCTCCAAACTGCAGAGGAAGCTTGAAGAAAGAAGAGAACCAAACTTCCCTAATTACTATGACATTCACATGCCCAGAGTCCCTTTTACTGCATCTTCAAATAAGGAACGGGGCAAAAGCCTACCTGAGAAGCGCCCAGTGCTCAAAGTCAGAGCATGACCTGGGGCCACTTGTGTAGGTTTCTAATGTGGATATACTTCCCTCTCTCACAGACTTGAACATTTTCGTATTACTAAGCATGTTTAAGCAGTACAGAACTGTACAACTCTATTCCCACTTTTCATGCTTCAAGATGACAAAAGAGCTTTACAAGCCTCAAAAAAAAAAAAGCATTTTAAAATAAATACATGTATTTTTCTAGATTCATATGACCAGAACCTTCAACAAAATCAAAACCTTATATGATCAATTTGGGCAGCAGACTCCATTTCAGAACAACCGATTTGTGTATATGGAATATACAACACCTGCAGATTAACTGCAGCATAGCCAGTACCATCCTCCTCACTAGCTGTGCTAATGTACAGAATAATTGATTTGTCATATCAGACAGCAAGTTTGTGATACACCTTTCCCTTCAGTCACAGCAAAAAAGCCCCCCAAACCAACATCAATTAAGGAACAAAGAGATGCCTTACTACAAAAGTACCATAGCGCATTTCCTTTAATCTGGAATATGACTTCCTGATGAAACTTAACTGGGATTGAAAAGAACAAGCAACACAGCTCAGTATATAGTGCTCAATCCAAAATCCTCCAAAACAGGGAGGAATCCTTCCCATGAGAGCCACAGGGCAGAGTATCTGTCTCACTCTACCATGCGAAAGTTTGGAAAGTTATTTTACCAATGCTCCCTAGATCAACCTATTAAATGCACTAAGCACAGAACAACTTAAGGAGGCTGGTACGTCTTCACAACACAAATCCTTTTACAAGGAAAATTAAATTACCTTTAATGCAACTGTATTGTCTGGCAAATAAAGACTCAGATGGCATTCAAGGATCCTGAGCACTAATCTCAGACTAAAATTACCCACTTAATCTATAGCCAGAAAGATTATACTGACCATATACAGGTTGAAACCTGCTGGAACTGAAGGATTACAGAAAGGGTCATGGCTTGAAATACTAGTACATAAACAGTTTGGAGACACAGATGGGAAGGTGAACCCTTCACTGGCAAACCACCCCCTGCAAAATTTTAAAACTTTTCCAGGCACTTTACCATTTTAAATGCTATTATGATGCAGTGCAAAGCATTCACTGGATTTCTACAGATTGGCTTTCCTCACACTGAGGACCTACTCTGCAAGGTTTCCTTGCCAGGGAGCAGGACAGGAGTTAGCACCCACTGATCAGAAATAATACGAGTCACCAGGATATGAAGATGCTCATTGCCCCCCTGCTCTCCATCCCAGTTAAGTGAATGTGTAGACACCACAGTCTAGGCATGTCAGGACCTCTATGGAAACACAGTTCCTCTCCTTTCCCCCCACATATAGGGGGAATTCAGAGCGTACTGAAAACTTTCTTTTATCATGCACACAAAGTTCAGAAATAGGGCAGGTAAAACTCACGTCAGAGGCCGCAAACGTGGGCATTCAGATCTTTCAGCAGGCTCTGTACTCCTGCAAGCGCCACCTGCTCAGCATTATTCAGAATGAGCCCATAACCACAACAAAATAGAGGAAAACATAAAAAACCCACCCTGCAATTATGTGTACGTTGGAGGCTAGTGAGCTACAGACCATATGCAGAGGGGAGGAACAGATCACTGCATGTTACCCAAGCCCACCCACAGCCATAGTAATTAACACTGCTGTAAAAAAAAAAAAAAAAGAAATTGTAAGAGCCACTCTCAAACAGCTACCGAATAAGGCACTCAGCATTTCACCCCACTAAAACAGAAGACTTGGTCTTTCAGTGAGCAATGCCATTTCTTACAAAGTGCTTGCAGATTTCACATATGCTGGTCTTTAACTATTACAGTAACATTGCCTTTATCACCACAATGTCATCTATTGAGAAGAATTCAAAGTATGCCAATTCACATTTAAGATAAGCTAACATATTTCCCCAAACAGAACAAAGATACATATCTATACATATCTTTTTCCTCCACTGTGGTTGCTGAGATGAGTTCACACATGGACCAGTCGAACAAACACCCTTACAAGCAATTATCGTAATTTATTAACAGGCGGTGTTTCTGTAAACATGTCCTTTCGTAGTTTCTAACAATTAGCTCAGTCCAGAATCTTACAAGATTATTAAAATGTATAAATGACATCTGTGATTTCTCTATTTGGTGTTGGAAGTTATGGAAGCCTCAAATACTTCAGCAGAGGTAATTTACAGTCAGCGAGCAAATGTTGATCTTGAATAATATGACTCAACTCCCTTCAGGCATTTTTTCCTTAGAAATAATAATATTTGTATGTAAAAGACAAGAAGTGGTCAGTAAATTACAGATATAGATTTTATCTAGGAACAGAGGTTGAACCAAGACTTTGATTTATAATTGCACTTCAACAGGCTCCTTGTCACAGCAGCCCAGTAGTAAACACGACTTTAAGACTAAACAACAGACTCCCTGCCCTACTTCTTAACAGCTCTGCAGCATGCAGGTCTCAGCCTAAATCAAATGAAAAATTAAGTATTTTCAAATTAGTGACACATCCCTGCTGTAGGCTCATTTTCATATGACTCTGTAATTACATGGTGGTGGTGGTGGTTGCGTTTTTGTTTAGAATCAGTGAAACAGCTGAAGGAGAGGAAATCTGCTAAACATCCCATCGATTTAACTAACACCGCTTTCAATTACTAAATCTGCAGGGATACTATCAGTTTTGCAGAGCCAAATCCTGACCCTACCTAAAGTCCTCTAGCACAAACTCAGTGGCTTCCTAGAACCTGCAGCTAGACGGAAAGCAGAACACGCTGCTCCTGCTAGGAATGCACTACTGCTCGCCACATGCAGACAAAGAAACCCAACTCAAAATTCGCCCCAGTTCACTCCATCGTAACGCCTAAACAACTCCGTCTCAGAAAAGAAACTTGCTGGGTTTCTTCCCAATCTGATGAAGAAACAGTATGAGAAGTTAAAACGCATTTGGTTTCCTTTATAGAGCAATAACCACGTGCAAAAGTTTCTGTACCAGCGCAGGGAGAGCAGCGCCGCAGCCAGCTCCGGGAACAGCGAGGCGCTCGCTCATTCCCCTGCCCCGCCTCACGCCCGCTGAGGGATGCTCCGGCCCTCCCGGGGAGCCGAGGAGGAAGCTGAAGCACACCTGGGGAGGCTAGCAGCCTTCCTAACAGGAGCCGGCACTTTCCGAAGACAGACGCATACCGGAGACACTTAACAGCTACCGCAGATGGCTACCCACCAGCCGCCCAGAGCCCCGCTGCCTGCAGAAGGGGCGACGGTCCCTGGCGCTCCAGGCAGAGCGGAGGAGGGCCGGGCTCCGGCTGTGCCGGAGAACGGCAGGGCAGCCCGGCTCCAGCCGGCGCGGC